TTAACAAGTCACGCTTTCGCATTACATTATGCACATGATTCTGCCCCATCACCCATCCTAAATATGAATTCATACCATCCCATCCAAACCAGAGTTCGGTTCCCCCTTCATCCTCCGCCCAAGCAATCATGCGCGCGCGTTCGCCGATCAAAACTCATCCGTTTTCGAGAATCTTCTTGTCCAACAAGCGCAGTGCACGCGGCGCACGCGCGCTTCGTCGCGCGCGCATGCCGAAATAAAGATTTCAAAATCGAGATTCATGAAACAAATAAAGTATTTGGTTTCGCAACACGGGTTATCAAACAAAAATGACAGCCGCGCTCTTACGAATCTTCGAGATTCCTCTCGCTTCGCGGGGTGCACGTCCGGAGCACGTACAGTCACGTCGCGGGGCCTTCTGGGAGCCTCTTGGGGGCCTCCTGGAGGCCTCTTGGGAGCTTCTTTGGGCCTCTTGGGGACTTCTTCTGGCCTCTTCCCCCCCTTTTTTGACTCCCTCCCCATCTTCCCTTCCAGCGCTGGCTCTAATCATGGGCGCCGCCGTGACCAACTTCCACCTGGCTGGCGCTGCGCCGCAGTTCGTCCAGGGGGGGAAATAATATTACACTCCAGTCGCTATGTGGCCTTTGGGGGGCTTCTTTGGGGCCTTTTGGAGGTTTCTTGGGGACTTTTCGGAGGTCTCTGGGGGCCTTTTTGGGGCCATTTGGGGGCCTCTTGGTGGCCTCTTGGGGCCTCTTGGGGGCGTCTTGGGCCGTCTTGGGGCGCTTTCGCGCCGTTTGGCCCCTTCGGAGGACTTCTTGGGGGCCTCTCGCGGCCGCCTTGGGGCCCTCTTGGGGTCCTCTTGGGCCGTCTCAGGGGTTTCTTGGGCCGTCTTGGGGGCCTCTTTGGGCCGTCTTGTGGCCCTCTGGGGCCGTCTTGGGGCCCCCTTGGGTGTTTCTTGGGCCTTCTTGGGGCCATCTTGGAGGCTGCTTGGGCCGTCATGGGCTTCGGAGAGGCGAAAAAGGCGAGAAAGCTAAAATCTCTCAAAAACGTAAGGAACATCTATGTTTTTGGCCTCTGGAGGCGCTCTTGTGGGCGCTCTTGGAGCCCTTTTGGGCCGTCTTGGGTTCTTTTTGGGCCCTCTTGGGGCCATCTCGGGCCGTCTTAGGGCCGTCTTGGGCCGTCTTGGGGCCATCTGGAGCCGTCTTGGGGCCCTCTTGGATCCCCAAAAGGCTCAAGGTGCCCAAATCATCGGTTTTCCATAGGTTTTTCTAGATTTTGAGGCCCAGAAGGGGCCCTCCTCCTGAGGGTCGATGGAAGTGGCGCGACTCCAGGGGGGGGGTTAGGGGGGGAGACATAATAATGTAATACAATACAATATGTAGGAATTATGCAAGCATTGGACACATTGGATCCATTGCATTACAGCATCCGCGGACCTGCCTCCGGCAACACGTCACTTCCGGACGTGGATTCTGTAGGCTTACGCCACATCCGCCGACCCCTGTATAAGGTACTGCGCCTCCGGGACTGCATTTCACGAGGCTTGTCCGAATCATGGCACGGCGCTCGACAGCGTTCCTGTTGCTTCGTTGCTGTTATCGTACCTCTTGGTGCTCTTTTGTGGCCTCTTGGTGGCATCTTGGCTTGTCTGCAGGCCATATCCGGCCGCCTCGAGGCATCTTGGGCCAAATTTTGGGGCCTCTTTTGGGCTTCCTGGGGGTTTCTTGGAGGCCTTTGAGGTTCTTTTGAGGGTCCCTCAGGGCCTCTAGGGCTGTTTTTGGGGCGGGCTGGGGGCGTCTTGGGGCCGAAGGCTCGAACAGGTGTCATCTTGGGGCCGTCTGGGGGCCCTCTTGGGCTGTCTTGGGGGCTTCGGGGGCTGTTGTTGGACACTCTTCGACCCTTTTCGGGGGCCCCTTTGGCCGTCTCGGGACGATATTGAAGGTTTTTGTTGCCCGTCTGGGACGTTGTGAAAACCGAATAGGCGAGCATGCGAAAAACGCTTGTTTTTCGAAGGGAATGGGGCGATTTTTGTTTCGTGGGTCCCTTTTGGGGCGCATCTTGGGGGCCTTTTGGGGCGTCTTGGCAGCTTCGGAGGCCGCCTGGAGGCCATCGTGGGCGTCCAGGGCCATATTTCGGCGAATCGTGGCCCCCTGGGACCGTCTCGGGAGCGTTCTGGTGCCTTCATGGCCAGTTTTGGAACCCTCCGCTCCCCCGTGGCGCGTTCGGTCCGGGGTCGCCCGGGGCCGGGGGGGGTGGGTCAAATCTCCGGTTTGGGGTCCCTTGGGGGGGGGTTATGGGGGGGGAACCATCTCACACGCCTAGAGACCCACAAGGGGTCGGCGGATAACCATGCGCTTTGCAACCTGTTCATAACTTGCCTCTCGCGCGCGCGTTTCGGAATCTTTCGAGCGTCTTTGCGCGCGTGGTGTCGCCAGAATCCCTTGCACGAGTGAGACGAAGTGCACGCGCGCGCGTCGTCGTGCGCGCATGCCGGAACCCAACAAACTTCGTAGGTTTCTTGAGGAGTTTAAGAATCGACTCCCCCAACACATCTCAAAACACATGGTTTTGCAACATCAATTGTCAAACAAGTATTGCGTTTGCGGTCTTGCGAGTTCTTAAGGAAACTATAGGTTTCCAACCATGCCGCCACATTCTGCCAAACGGACCTCTCGCGCAGCATGCCGAACTCATTCGAACGCCCTTGCGCGCGTGCTGGGGTGGGGCACGGTCCGTGTCAAGTAATACCACGCGGGCTACTCGCGCGCGTCGGCCGCGCGCGCGTGTCGAACTTCAAAACCCGCCTCGCCGACGCGCGTGGACATCGTCATCGTTATCGGCGGGCGTGATCAGCGTCGGCGCCGTCACTGGCCGCGCCGACGTCGTTTCACCATCGTCACCAGCATCGCTACTATCATCCTCGCGTTTGCCGTTGTCGGCGTTGCCATGATACCGCGTCCGCCCAAGTGGCCCACTCGCACGTAGGGGCCCGCTGGGAAATGCCCAGCGGTCAGCGCCACCGCGGCCGCGTCGGTCGCGCCAAACTAGTTGGCCGGTGTGCGCGCGAGCATGCGCGGGCTATCGCGGCCGCAAAGATATACCAGCCAACGCCAAGCACTCATCGCAATCGCCGCCGCATGCGTTTTGCAAGCCTAGGCGCGGGTGGGCCGTGTGGGATGATTGCGCGAGGACTGGAATGGACAACCCTGCGCGAACAAAAGCTCGTTGCACCACACAAGTGTCACCACAGAATGCACTGCGTCGACTGCACAACACAGTATGCTAGATCACATTGTTTGGCGTCCATGCTGGACGGGTCGGTCGAGGATTTTCCACCTTGCCGCCCCGTGCCGCCTCGCGGGCGTTCCTGGGTGACCCGTGTGCTGGTTGGGTCCGCCGGGGTTGCGCCGCATTGCCGCCCGTACCGCCGCGTGGGCGGTCGTGGGCGCCCCGTGCGCTGAGCTAGCTTACGCCGCGTGGAGTACACCACATAGCTTACACGCCACAGTGTACACGACATAGTTTGCACCACGTAGCTTGCAGGACATGCGCTGTACCACGTAGCTCATTCCGGATAGCGTTCTTTCCAGTGTTTCCGCGTATGTTGCACGGCGTACCCGTGCACCGCGTAGCCTACACCGTGCATATTTCACCTTTTCACACTGCAGCCGTTAAACGGCTGCCGTTTACTGTTTGGGGCCCACGATTGCTGACACTCCTTTGTTTTTGTTCTCCTCCTCCTTTTTTTCGACGGCGACGACGGCGACGGCCATTCGGGAGGGAGGGGTTAGGGGTTTAAAAACATTCTGGAAGGGAGGACGAGGAATAGAAACGGTCTTTGAGAGGAGGCATGGGGAGGTGACGAACGGCTCCAAGGAGATATTGCGAATGGCGTGAGACACAATAGCAGCATTGTGGGACAGGGCGTGCCCGCCTCGTCCTCCTCCTCCTCCTCCTCCTCCTCCTCTTCCTCCTCCTCTTCCTCCTCCACCTCCTTCTCCTCCTCCTCCTCATTTTCCTCCTCCTCCTCCTCCTCCTCCTCCTCCTCCTCCTCCTCTCCTCCTCTTCCTCCTCTTCCTCTCCTCCTCCTCCTCCTCCTCCTCCTCCTCCTCCTCCTCCTCCTCCTCCTCCTCCTCCTCCTCCTCCTCCTCCTCCTCCTGTCCTCCTCCTCCTCCTCCTCCTCCTCCCACCTCCTCCTCCTCCTCTCTCCTCCTCCTCCCTCCTCCTCCTCCTCCTCCCTCCTCCTCCTCCCTCCTCCTTCCTCCTCCTCCTCCTCCTCCTCCTCGTTCCACTCCCTCAGCCTCCTCCCTCCGCCCTCCCGCCTCCTGGCGGCAGCAGTTGCTGAACGGCAACGGGTTCCGCCGTGTAGCGCGCAGTGCCGCCGTTCCCCCCCCACACCTCCCGTCGCATGGAGTTCGCCACCCGTCGCACGGAGTTCGCTTTCGGCACGCGCCGCCCCGCTCTCTCCCGAGGCTCTGCGCCCCCAGTTCGGATGCGCCTCTGGCTGCCCTGCCCGCCCTCCCCCCTCTGCCGCTTCCGAGGGATGCGCGTTCTCCACCCCCGAGCGAGGCCCCGTCCCTCCCTCCCTGCCCCCTCTCCACTTCCGGGGAGACCGCCCCCCTCCCTTCCCCGCCCTCCCCCCCTGATTTGAGGCTCTCTTGCAGGAGGCTGAGGCTCTACAGGCTTCCCATGAGCCTCACCCGATCCGATCCGATCCGACCCCCCCCGCCAGCCCCTGGTTTCGAGGAGGGCCCGCACCCCCCCTCGAGCAGTGGCGAAGCGTCGTCCTGGCTTGCCTATAGGCCCACCAGAGAACTTTCGAAGAGCCTCTTGTGATTTGCACGACGTGTTCTTAGAACAGTTCTGGCTGAAGCTGGCTTGTTTGAACACATCGGGGTTATGTTCTAAGAACATCGTTTTGGTTCTTAGAACATGTTGGGGTTCTAAGGACATGTCGTGGTAGGTCTATGGGAATGCCGGGACTGTCGGTCCCTGCTCAAGCCCCCGCCCCCGCCCCCCAGGCCCGCCCGCCGTGGGGCCCGAGGAGCTGGCGGAGCCCGCCCGGTCGCCCTCGAAGGGCGGCAGGGCGACCGCGAGGCCGAGGGCCTCGGTCGCGGTGTTGCCCGAGGCTCCGCGCGCGGGCGTCGGAGTTTTGGGGGCGTGGTTCTTCCAGGGGCGCGCCGCCTCTCCTCGGGGGGGAGGATGGGGGAGGAGCAGCCCCTGGTTCCCCCTGCTCGCCTCTGCCTCCACCTCCTCCTCCTCCTCCTCCTCCTCCTCTTCCTCCTCTTCCTGCTCCTCCCTCTGCAGCCCTCCTCCTCCTCTTCCTCCTCCTCCTCCTCATGTTGTTCCTCCTCATGTTCCTCCTCCTCCTCCTCCTCCTCTTCCTCTCCCCCTCCTCCCCCCTCCTCCAGAGGAGGCGCGCACGCGGGATTGAAACCGTCGTCGTCGTCGTCGTCGTCGTCATCGTCGTCGTCTTCGAAGACCGATTGGTCGAGGGTCGAGGTTTTCGGCCGCCTTTCCTGGGGCGCCCTGGGGGCCACAGTAGGGGTCGCTTCGAGATTTAGGCCAGAGCGCTCCTTGTGGCAGGCCCAGGGGAATGTCGCGGTCATGTGACTGGGTCGGGAGGGAGGGTTCCCTGGAACACTCACGCCCAGAGGGATGGCTAGATTACCAGCGCCATCCACTCCATCATTCCGGGTCCGGCGACTGAAGTAGTTCTCGCGGAGCAGCTTCAGGGCGGGCTTCTAGGTGTTCGCCGTTTCAGGGGCCTTCGCGGGGGCGCGTTGCCCGTGGGTGTTCACTTTGGGGCCGTTCGAGTGGGTGGGTATTTTCTTGTGGCTCTACTTCTTCCTAATTTCTTGTGAGAAGTCTTTCAAAAACCAGAGGGAAATCAATGTTTTTGGCCTTCTGGGGCCCACTCGAGTGTCCTCTTGAGGGCCTCTGGAGCCGTTTCGAGGCTCTCTTGGACCGCCTGGAGACCATCTGAGGCTCTCTTTGGGCCGTCTTTGGAACGTCTCTGGGGCTTATTGGGACGTTCTGGTGCCCTTGAGCCGCTCCATGCGACAAAATATGGAAACGGGCCATGGAAGGCGCCCGGGAACCGCGTCGCCCGAGCAAATACGAGGGAAGCGGCCCCCAGGGGGCCATCAGATCCGGATTTCTGGGCCTCGCCCCCCCCTGGGCCCCTCCCTAGAGGGCTTCGCCCCACACAGGAACGCCATCACTCGCACCTCGGTCTTTCCGTTGCATGGGCCGGCACGGGAGAGGAAAGAGCGCTGCAGGAAGTGGCCCGAGAGGGCTCATGGCACCCTTTGCTCTGTGGAGCCTTGGCGTCAAGAGTTTGCTGCGTCACCGCTCTCTGTTGGGAACCCTGGTGTTCAGGGACTCTTACGTTGCCGCTCGCTCTTGGGAGCCCTGCTGTTCAGAGCTCTTTGCGTCACCGCGCTCTGGGGAGCCTTGGTGTTCAGAGCTTGTTACTTCACCGCTTGCCGCGGGGAGCCACGGTGTTACTTGGCGTCTCTGGGGCTTTTCGGGGGTCTTGTTGTGGCCCTTTTGGGCTGTTTTGAAACTATCGGGCCGTCTCGGGGCCAGCCCCCGCGCCCAAGCAGCCCAGTCCCCGCGCCGCCTCTTCGGGCCCTCTTGGGAGCCAGCTCCTGGGAGGGCCGGCGGAGTGACGTCTTGTGCGGATCACCGCGAGACCTCGCTGCCCCCTGGGTGGCTGCGATCCGCGAGATTGTCGCCACTTTCGTGGGTTCCTGGGAGGACCAGCGGGGTGACGTCTCACGCGGATCACCACGAGACCTCGCCGCCATGTCGGTGGCTGCGATCTGCGAAATTGTCGCCACTTTCGCGGGCTTTTGGGAGGGCTGGCGAAGTGACGTCTTACGCGGATCACCACGAGATTTCGCCGCCCCGTCGGTGGCTGCGATCTGCGAAATTGTCGCCGATTTCATTGTTTTCTCGGAGGGCCAGCGGAGTGACGTCTTACGCGGATCACCACGAGATTTCGTTGCCCCGTCGGTGGCTGCGATCTGCGAACCTGTCGCCACTTTCGTTGGTTCCTGGGATGGCCAGCGGAGTGACGTCTTACGCGGATCACCGCGAGACCTCGCCGCCCTTCGGGCGGCTGCGATTTGCGAAACTGTCGCCACTGTCGCGGGGTTCTGGGAGGGCCAGCGGAGTGACGTCTTACGCTGATCCCTAGGAGAATTCGCCGTCCTTTGGGGGTGATCTGCGAAACCGTCGCCACTTTCGCAGGATTTGGGGAGGGCCAGCGGAGTGGCGTCTTACGCGGATCGCCGCGAGACCTCGCCGGCCGCGGGTCACCACGAGACCTCGCCGCCCCCAGGGTGGCTGCGATCTGTGAAATTGTCGCCACTTTCGCGGGCTTCTGGGAGGGCCAGAGGAGTCACGTCCTACGCGGATCACCACGGGACCTCGCCGTCCTTGAGGGGGGGGCTGCGATCTGCGAGAAACTGTCGCTTCTTTCGTAGGCTTCTGGGAGGGCCAGAGGGGCGACGTCTTGCGCGGATCGCCAAGAGACCTCGCCGCCCCTTTGGGGCGGGGCTGCGATCCGCGAAATTGTCGCCACTTTCGCGGGCGCTGGGGAGAGCCAGCGGAGTGACGTCTCAGGCGGATCACCACAAGACCTCGCCGCCCCCTGGGGGGTTGCGATGGGCTTCTGGGAGGACCAGCGGAGTGACGTCTTACGCGCATCACAACTATAGCTGGGTGGCTGCGACCCGCGAAACTGTCGCCGCTTTCGCGGGCTCCTTGGAAGGCCGGCGGAATGACGTCTTTCGCACATCACAAGTAGGCTCGCCGTCCCTCGGGGGCTTGCGACCCGTGGAGCTGTCGCCGCCAGCCCCGTGGGGCAGCGGCGGCTGGGCGTATAAACCCGGCGGCAGTCAGGCACGGGGCTGCAGGCAGGTGTGATCCCAGCCTTGCTTGTAGTAACCCCGTGGAAGTGGCCCTGCCGGGAGGGCTACTGCTCGCCGCCGCGCCCGCGGGGGAGACCGTCGCGAGCGTCTTCCGCCTGGGGGCCCCGACGGGCGAGACGCGCGCTGAACCGGCAAGGCCTCGACGCGAGCGGCGCTGGCCCCATGATCTGCCGCAAAACTCGACCCCGCGAAACAGACCCATTTGAACCGCGAGGCGAAGAATTCGCCGCGCGCCGGGACTGCCAGCATGTGCCTGGTGGCGGGAGAACGCGACCGCCTGACATTTCGTGGCTTTCGTCCTGCGCGGCCGCAACAGCGGCGACCTCGTCCGCGACGCGCGCGCGCAGGGCGCCGTCGCACGATTGGGCACGCGGCGCCGTTCTTCCGCGGCGCGCGGCGGGAACCCCTGGGGGAGCCAGAGGGGCGGGGCGTCGCGGTGGCGACGCGAGCGCTGGCCCCTTCCAGCGTCTGCGACGCGCGCGTGCCACTCTTCGAACCTGACCCGCTGGGCCCCGAGCGCTATCGGCTAGCAGCCGCGACGAGTCACAGATATAGAAAAGCAGGACCCCTCCCCGTCCCATGGCGCATGGCGCCGTTAGATCGCGCATCGCGGCGCGTGCGAACACCGCGCAGCGAATGGCGCATGGCGCTGTCCGTTGCCCACGCCGCGCCCTTTCTGCAGCCGCCTGTTGCCCGCGCTGCACGCGGGCGCATTCTACGTTTAGCGCGAGGCGCTGTGCTGTCATAGCGCGCAGAGTGCTGTCCCGCCATGCGAGCGCAGCGCGAGGCGCTGCTACTCCTGCGAATCATGTCTCCAATCGTCCTCCCCCACATGTTCCTGCGCCCCCTCGCGGTCGCTCTCCTGCCCGCGACCTGACCCTTACAGGCGGCGCCGCGCGCATGAAACATCTGACTTTGGCCCGACGTCCTTTCGCGCGGCGTTCAAGGGCATCGCCGATCATTATATGACTGCTTTTGCATTGAGCGATCCGATGCGTATTCGCCACGCGCTTCGAAGGGCCGGGCACGTCGCCGTTTTTCTTGCAAGCACCAGCATCGACGTTTGGATTTGGCGGGGGGGGACTTCGAGGGGCAACGCGTGCCCGGGCGAGCTGCGTCGAGCCATGCTCGCAGGGCCGGTTAGACTCTTGCTAGTATATGGTCGTGCTGGATGTTCACGCAAGAATGGTGACGCGGAAGCGCAGCCTAAATTGGATAATGATGACATTGCCAAAATATACGAAACTACCCAAATGACCGCGGTTGGTGTTTTTATTCTCGAATAGATTGGAAGGCCGCGGAACCCGGAGCATGCTGTCAAATGGGGCTTCAGGGCTAGCATGGGGCAAGTGCGTCGGCAGCATCAGCGCTGATTTGGGCCTTGGACCAGTGGTCGACGGCAGGCCTGTCCACGAAGCGCCGGCAGGGAACGCAGAAGAGCGACGTTCATGGGGCAGAGGAGGCCCGGAGGACGCATAACATCAACTTCATGCGCCGCGCGGCGGGGGGCGCGCAATCGCGCGCGCCGCGCAGGAGCACCAAGACTGGTCGCTGACGCCTGGATTCTGCGAGGCACGCGGAGACGTCGGATGCGCAGCCCGGAAATACAAAAATAATATGTGCGTTTGCAATGCGCCGCGGGGGGTCGCGGGAAAAGCAAGCTTGGGGCGGCGCGTCAGAAGCAGATAAAGGTCCAGGAATCGCAGCCAAGGCACCGATGGGAGACGCGCGGAAATTCAGAAGCACGGCGCGCACGCACATGCGAAGCGCAAGTTATTGGGAGAGGACCTATTGGATTCATGTAAATTGACAGCAACAGGGGGGTGGCCCCGAATACCGATCCCACTTCGTCGCGCAGCAAGTTAAATTCTGCCTCAAGCAGAGCGGTGCAGTCGCGGCGACGCCACCGCCAGAGGCCGCAAAGCTATTGTTCTCCATGACAGCAAAGAAGAAGAGATTATGAAAAGGGCGCAAACGTTGAATCACGTTGGGATTCATCGGTGGCATACAGGGCTTAACTCTATCATACGGCAAACAGAAGGCATTATCAAAACTCCCCGACTAGGATCGCGAACCGGGAATGCGCGGCCGATCGTCGGCGTCCATGCGTGGGGCAATGGACGTAGTCAGCACGCTGACAAGACTGCTGCACGGGCGTCGCCGGGAATCGGATTTGACGGCGGCCCAG